TCCTCAACCAAACCTCCTCTAAAGGAAGGCTAATTATAGGCTTCAATATGCACCTGGGTGAAAATTAACTTTTAAGCAGCCTTTAAAATAAATGGTTTTTAATTATTATCATTATGCAAAAGCTGCATAAATGCCCGTAATTGTGCTTATAAAGTAACATTTGCTATAATCACCTTTAATATCCAGGAGCAACATAAAGGTTTTCTTTTCTTTTTTACTAAAAAAAATTGGAAAGAACATTCATTATCAATTCACAGGTCATTTTATTTTATTTTATGAGAACAAATGTTTTAATTGAAATACATCAACTGCTAAAACTTACCATATACTGAATGTCAGTTACTTAAAATTAAACTTAAAATACCTTGAAAATATGCTTAGTTACTGAAGATTAAAAGTAAATATACAAGATATTCAGCTATAATGTTGAATTTTCTGATTTCATTATGCTTAGATATTAAACATAACATTTCTATAGAGAAGCTAAAACATGCCCATTTAAAAAATAAGAATATGCTTCATTTATTTAAAAGTTATTTGACCCAAAATATTTTTTTCTTAAGAAATGATAATGCTTAAAATTGTTGTATGTGTGCTTGTGTGTGTCTGTGTATGAGTCAGAGAATAACTTTTGTTTCCACAAAACTTACTTAAAGGCAAAATGCACTACAGGACTATTTTTATTCAAAATTGGAGGCAAACATTTTTTTTAAACACATGCAAACAAATCGAAAACACCTATAAAATAGCTGCTTGAGGTAGACATGATGAAGGGGTGGAGAGCAGAAGCAGTATGCTGTGATAATTTAGGGTGGTATAGCAGCTGACTTAACTTTTGTTGTTTTTCTTTTCTTTCTGAAGCTACTTTTTATAAGAAATATGTGAGAGATGAAGATGTGGTATTTTCAAAACACTGTTTTCAAATTTTTATTTGGGATTAAAGAAAGTATTCTTCCAATGATTCAAAAAAGTAACTATTAGAATAATTATTAGATCAAATGAACTATATTTTAATATTATATGTAATCACAAATCCAGTATCACAAATCCAGTATCAATCAGAAAATTCTGATGTTTATTTATTTACTCTCATATGATTAATTACACTTATAAAATTGAAATATATTATTGGCTACCATTCTTAAAAACTCGAAATGGAAGGTGCAAAGCTAAAGCTTCGCAGGGATCATAATAATTATTGCATTAAATGATTGGGATGATTGAGGATGAAATCTGTGATTATATTTTTGCACTCCTAAGTTTATTTCCAGCCTTTGTTGGGAATGGGGCCCTTATTTGTGAAGATATAGTAAGTTCTATGTTAATGGAGGGACACGTTGTGTGGAACTCATTTCCTAACCTGGTCTTTTCTACTTTGCATAGTTTCATCCTCCTAAGGACCCTTAAACTGACTCATCCTCCTAAAGACCCTAGATGTGTAGAAGGGAATTATAGAACAACAAATAAATCAATCTATGAAGATATCATTGGACATGAATTTATAGATCTATAACCACCAATGATATATTTTTATTTTTAAACCTTTAGGGGTTTGTTTTGTTTTTATAAATGGTATACTCTGCAAAAATGATAGAAATGAAGAGCAATTTTAAGATATTAATAACAGACAAATGGCCTGAGAGAAGATTGAGCATGTGAATCAGATTCCCAGTTCCATAGTTTGAACAGGCATTTACAGCTTGAAGTAATGTCCATTCCTTTTTATCCATGCAGCCCAGTGAATAAAAGAACAAAAACATAAAGAAAACTTAGTAATGCCTTTAGATGTTTAAAATCAGAAATTAGATCATTTTTGGAGATCATATTTGGAATGTTTATGAAAATACAACTTAGCCCGCTATTTTTATGTTGTTTTTATTAATCATGAAGGGCCAGTAGGTTGTTCTATATTGCTATGTCAGTTAATGGAGAAGAAATACTGATTTTGCATGTTTCCATTTGCCAAATATAGAAATAAAAGGCACAGACATTGTGTCGCTACAGAAGGTATTTTGTATTCAGTTTTTCTCCAAGTAAACTAAGCTGTTTGAACATCTCATTTGTACAGTATCCTTTTTGCTGAGACATCATATCCACTCACCTTTGAGAAGATTTTAGGAACAACAATGTGACTGCTGAATTGCTGATTCACTTAGAATAATTATTATTCTTGTCCATTAAGGACAGATCCTATAGCCTGCTTTGAAATCCTAGGATAATAAAAAGGGAAGCTCAAGTATTTTATTTTGTTTAGCTTTATTTAAGTTTTTATTTAATTCCAGTTAGTTACAGTGTTATATTATTTTCAAGAGTACAATATAGTAATTCAACATTTCCATATACTCATCATGACAAGTGCACTCCTTAATCCTCGTCACCTGTTTAACCCAGCCTGGCCCCCGTAAGCGTCAGATGGTTGTCTTTCCCTTTGCTTGTTTGCTTTGTTTCTTAAATTCCACATCAGAATGAAATCCTATGGTATTTATCTTTCTCTGACTCTTTTCACTCAGCATGATACTCTTAAGCTCTAGGCATGTCATTCTTTTTTATGGCTAAATAGTATGCCCGGGTGTGTGTGTGTGTACCTATATCTATATTCTTTATCCAGTTTATCCATTCATCAACTGATGGGACACTTGGGCTGCTTCCAAATCTTGGCTATTGTAGATAATTCTGCATAAGGATGCATGTATCCCCTTGAATTAGTGTTCTTATATTCTTGTGATTAGTGGTTATATTTGCAGCATTAATGTTGATAACAAAATGTGTAAATTTATCAGGTTCTGTCTTTTGAGGCAATGATTCTTCCAGGAAATAAAAATGAGAAAAATAGGGCGCCTGGGTGGCTCAGTTGGTTAAGCGACTGCCTTCGGCTCAGGTCATGATCCTGGAGTCCTGGGATCGAGTCCCGCATCGGGCTCCCTGCTCGGCGGGGAGTCTGCTTCTCCCTCTGACCCTCTTCCCTCTCGTGCTCTCTATCTCTCATTCTCTCTCTCTCAAATAAATAAATAAAATCTTAAAAAAAAATGAGAAAAATAATTTTCAAAAAGCAGTTCATAACCCATTAGCCAAGGTGTGATTCCCAACTGTAAGGAAATGATTGGTATGAGATAGATATGAGGGAATATAGCACCATGGGAAGAGAAATGTTTGTCCTATAAGTATCCCATCATTCCTTGCTGTATCAAAGAGCTTCTAGTCCTGTAAGAATGTGCAAACTTCCTGGATTGGCATCAGTCAGGATCTAGTTAAGAATGCATAGCTATTATTTGTCTTTCAACAAAGATAATTATCACAGGTGGTTGATTACATAGATGTATTAGGTGTATGTGGGTTAATGTATTAGGCTTTTGCATGAGCCTAGATGGCCATCAACAGATGAATGGATAAAGAAGATGTGGTGTGTGTGTGTGTGTGTGTGTGTGTGTGTAAGTAAATATAATGGAATATTATGCAGCCATCAAAAATGAAATTTTGCCATTTGCAACGACATGGATGGAACTAGAGGTTATTATGCTAAGTGAAATAAGCCAATCAGAGAAAGGCAATTTTCATATGATCTCACTGATATGTGGAATTTGAGAAACAAGACAGAGAATCATAGGCGAAGGGAGGGAAAAATGAAACAAGATGAAATTATAGAGGGAGACAAAACATAAGAGACTCAATCTCAGGAAACAGACTGAGGGTTGCTGGAGTGGAGGGGGGTGAGTGGGATGGGGTGGCTGGGTGATGGACACTGGGGAGAGTATGTGCTATGATGAATGTTGTGAATTGTATAAGACTGATGAATCACAGACCTATATCCCTGAAACAAATAAAACATTATATGTTAAAAAAAAAAAAAGACTTTTGCATGATTCAATGCTACTTTGCTGAATAGGTATTAGGGAGTTAAAGTTTGTTGTTGTCTTCCTCTGAGATATTTTAATACTATACATTTGGGGATGATAACAAAGCTTGTAAAAGGGTGCTTTTTATTTTTTGAATAATTTGACACATGCATTAATGATAGGTTCCCACAGAATGCATACATACCTACATTTACCAAAGATATTTTGTCAAATATGTATATCATCTAACAGCTTTAATGAGGATATTTTGATATATATGTAGAAATTTGAAAGGCTATAGAAAATAACCAATCTAAAGAATCCCAATTTAAAAATGAAGAAACTTGATTTTTATAAAAATATTTAAATAATGTGTACTTGATTTTTGTATCAGTCATCTCCCTGTCAAAATATATATGATGCATATTCACATACACACGCATATGCAAACAAGCTTTGAGAGGACATAGGAAATATTTCCACTCTCAATCTCAAAACATGTCCAATGTACTCTGTCATCACATATAACCAATTTTAAATATATATATTTCAATATATAATTATATGTAACATGATTTGTATGTAAATATAAATATATAGTTAATATGTAGTATATATTCAAATGATTTAGTAAATAATGTCTAGAAAATATTTTTAATTGTTATAGTTTCAGAATGTATAGTTTCACACATACAATGTATGTATGAATAAATGAATATGGCATAAGAGATTACATTTCACTTTTAATATAGGTAGAATTTTCACAAGAAATTGAAATATACTTCTCAATAACATGTTGAACAATAAAGAAAATAATAAATTACTATCAAAGTGTGTAAAATTCAAGTGATTTAAATGTCACAATTATTTTACTTTAGAATGCAGGTATTTTAATTGTCTTAAGCAAATAGTATTATGAAATATTTAATGAAGTAAGAAAATCTTGTTTAAGGACCAATCTTTGGATACTATCTTTTATTAGTCCCATATTTATGGTTTCTACTTTTTATTTGTCTCAGGTTTATTCCTTTAAATCTAGCTAGATGATACCATTTAATATTTATACTCGGTAAAAGTACTGTAGTTTTTGAAATTCTGTTGCATTATAGTCAAAACTGCCCAAGTCTGATTTATTGAGCTTATATACTTTTCTTCTATATATTTTTCCTACAGTATGAATGGAATCATTGCTGATTTTCTATGCACATAAGAATTGAATTTCTTCAAATAAATCTTATGTTTCTTTTGTGCCCATAGAGACATCTGGATACTCATCAGAAGTGTAAAAATCCCAACTAGAAAAAAAAAAAGAAAGAATTATCCTTTCTTATTTCTATGATAGATATAGCAAGTTCTATTAGAAAAAGAACCTATTTAGCTCTTAAAATATTTCTCAAGTGTTGCATAGTTCTGTATCAATTTTCTTTACTCATATTAATTGCCTAGCATAATATATATTCAACACGTGGTTGAATAAACATAGGAAGTACATAGCAGCGGTCAAAATAAATCTACATTTTTTTATATCCCACTGCCACAAAGTATTTCCAAATAAGGAATTTTTATCTTTCTGAATTTTTCAATAGTAGTTTACTGTATGTATATAATACACATCTACACACACATGCATATGGCAAACCATGTTAATTATGATTCAAAAATTGTATACAGTGGAACAAATAATGGATGAAATGGATGTAATACATACCCTTTCCAATACATGCAGTTCATTTCAATTTAACTCTCTTATGTGTGTTAAAATGCCCAGCATTTAAGATTACACACTCATGCTCCCAGCCTTCCCTTCAGAGACATCATGGACACTTGAAGGACACAGCACATACACATGTCTGTCTGTGTTTCAAGTGAAGTGCATTATTACCACCACTTCTATTAACAAATCCTTGCTGTTAATGAATATGTTTGAGCTACATTTTCTAAGTTGGATTAAGCCACAATTACCTAGAGATTTTTGTTTCATTATTTTTTAATACTGCTAAAAATATCCAAGATAAAAAAAAAATGGAAGCATAAAATCCTTTTGCAAAACTGCCAAACTTTAGCACTATAAAAACTTGTTCTCAGAAACCACTTCTCTTAAAGGTGCATTTACTTAAATGTCAAATAACCTAGTCTTACCTGGCAGTGTTTGTGTCATGACTGTGAAACTAATCCATGATCCAATCTGTTAGATTAAAACATAAATTAATATATACCTATGATTAATCTAGTATTTTTTTTAATTTGTGATATTATATAGGTAATGTGAAAGCTTAAAACACAGTGGAAAAACTATAGGTAGAAATAAATGTCACCCAAATAATAATTTTGTTGTTAAAGATGATAGTCATAATCCCATAAACAGCATCATATTCATAAAACAAAGTGAAAGATATTGTTCCAAAAACTTTGATGATAAAAATAGGAATCCTGAAACATCACAAGACATTTTATATGAAGATTGTGACGTTTTCTTTAAAAATAAATATATATGAAAATATTCATATTTCGGTAGGGAAAATTGTGGTTGAGTGTTCCAATTTCCTATGCCTATAACTTGAAATGAAATAATATACCATAATTTATATCTCTGATATACAGATCTACCGATAAAATCTGTCTATAATCATATATATTAAAATTTAATATATGTAAATACATAAACATATGCATTTAGAGTATCAGAATAAAGTTTAATTATTTACATACATAAATAGCATACCTCGTAGGTGTAGTTAGGACATGAAACCAGGAAAAACATCCATGTGAAGGGGTTATAATTTGGACTTGGAAAACAGGCGTTAATTCCTTTTAGAAAGAAGAGTAAACTATCAATGATGCTACATAGTGCAAATTTAATCATATATGTCTTGTATGATTCTAAATTCCCTAGAATAACTTATACAACATAAAATGTCAACACATATTTATAGAAACCTATTTCCCAAATTGCTTAGAATTCGTTTCAAATGTTATGACCTTTTGACTCAAACAGAATACCTGTCATTTTCTGTGTCTATAGTTATGTTGCTATAAATTACAGAATACACCATGATGATCAGTTCTTTAAAGTTCAATATATAAATGTTATTTTGCATAATAGATGCAGCTGAATTGTATACTGAAATCAGTAAATGTGCTTTAACAATTGCAAGCTTCTCTTTTAGTGTCAAAGAAGATTATTTGGTTGAGATTATTAAATACTTCAAACATTCCTTTCTATTTAATTAGTGAAAATCCAAAGGGAATTTTATAAGGATGTCGTTTATATTAGGAAAGTGTGAAAATCTCTCATAAGAGGATTACAGTGAATATCAGCATAGTTAATATTCAGAAATACCACATAAATTATTTCTGCTCAGCAATCAGGATTGTTATTTACAGTTTTCATTATACTTATCATATTGTTACTTGATTTTTGTGATTTTTTTGCCTTTTAATTTCTTTCAAGAAATATTTTAGATAACAAATTTATAATGATTTCAAGTTGAACTTTGAGCAATGACATTTATAAAAGTAAATATGAATTATAAATTACTGTTTATTCTCCATAGCAAATTTAATCAAATAACACATCAACTAATCTCTTTTAGTTATAATTCTAAAGTCATAATGAAATGTCAGTATTTTGTTTTCAGAATTGTAACTATTGTTAAACTATCAAAGTAAAAAATATATTAGGTACTGTGCAGATTTCATGTACTGCTCATTTCAACAGAAGAATAGAAACATACCGTTTAATATTATAGATCCTCTTGATAACTTACATGCAAGTTCCTTTGTGTAATGTCCATATATTCATCAAAAGAAAAGTGATTTAGGAACCTACTAAACATGTTATAGAAACTGAATTTTAGAGGTGGAAGATGCACACAAAATAATCTGGATTAAACCTAGTTTATGACTATTCAGCCTCTAGTGATGGTGGAAATGTTCAGGGATCCACAAATACACATTTCTTCTAGTTTGTAGATTTAATAAGCAATATGTCTTAGGATCCAGAAAAAATATATGTATATAGATACTCTCTCATGTATCTACTTACTGTTAATTTTAAACTGTAAGTCTAGATGTTACTAATTTAATATTTACAATCCCATGAAATGCTTTCTCAAGCTATAGTTACTATTAATAACAGAGCTTCTATTAAATAAAAGTCAGAAGATTTTTTACATTACAATGCTGCACCACACAGAGTCTTCTTCAGGTATAAAAGTTTATTCCACAGCTTCAGGGATAACTCCTGGCAGAAAACTTTCAACCCTCAGCACCCTCTATAAAGACTGTCTGGAAGAAGGGAGAAACCTTTCCCAAGGTCACACTCATTCTTCGGTGTAGCCTTAATCCAATATTTGGTCAACATGGTAAATTGAGGACTCAACTCAGAATAACATTGATTGTTCATCCCAGCTGTAGAATACCCCTGAGGTTCATCTGAAACCTGCCTTGAAACTGTATGACTCTCAATTTCCCCCCAAACATGACTTATTTTTTTCCCATTCATAAAATCACTCTCTAAAGAACTTCCTGAATGCTAAACTCCATTTCAGCATCTGCATCCCAGAAAACTGAACCAACAATAGCTGCCACCAGGAATGGCCCCAAAAGCAAATAATGGATTGGCATTTTAAAATGAAATGACCTACTGAAAAGCCTGAAAAGTACTGCATCACTGATGGTAGGTCTTGAACAGATAACTGCTGGAACAAGAGTAGCTGTGCAAATGTAAAGCCTTTTACCAATGGTGTGATGGCATGCTATACTGATGGAAAGGAATGCTTTATTTGGTCCAATGGAATTAAGTGGTTATCACTATCAGTGCTCTTGATAAAAATAGCTAAAAACTGAAATTAACAATTGGCAATTAAAATCAAGCTGTGAAAGTTAGAGGGTCTCATCGGAGAAGCTCTGATCTCTTGCAATGAGAGAAAGGCAGAGAAAGCTGAGGACCAGGCTGAGGACTTACTTGCAAGAGTAGTCAGGCTCCAAAGAAAAAAGAACTCCAATACAAACTAGGTCTGCTAAGCCCAGGTTGTTGTTCACAAAATCTTGGAATATATAGATTTCCATGAACTCCCTGAACCTACAGAAGTTGCCCACTCCTCCCTATTAAAAGTTAGCACACTCCCTTCCTTAAGGCAACACATATGCCACTATGTTGCAAGGAAATCCCCTCTAGGATCTTCTCCATGTACTTTCTTAACTCCTATGCTATAGGCTAGGGTTACAGTACAATATAACGTAACAGAGTTTGCTCTGGACTGATAAGGGGAAAAAAAAAAAAAGAATTATGCCCCAATGGACCTACAGAACCCAGCTCCCATGAACTAGCTAATTATGGGAGAATGTATATACATGTGATTGGATTCTGAGAGTACTTGATAAGAAAGGCAAAATATAAAATTGGACAAGAGTAGGTTTATGATGTCAGCACAGTCTTCTGGGATATAGGAAATAATGTTCTGCTAAAATGGTACAAACACACTAACATGCGCCTGGAAGCATGAACAAAGTAATGGCACATAGTAAGTGAGGAAGAAATGTTAAAATTCCATGGCAAGCAGGGGAAAAATATATCAAATGGGTTGGAAAAGTGTGGATCCTAGATTAGTTTATATAAGGCTGAAAAAGGAAGACCCCTTTCCATGGGAGAAATTTTTTTCTCATGTTCTATATTCCCATGTTCTTTCCTATGTTCCATAGAACTTAGAGGATATACCATTTTCCAAAGCTATAATGAATGTTTTAGTGAAAGGGGCACCACCAGCACTAAGATTAGTGTTGTCTCTCTGCTGTTCCAGGCTGAGTATAAGTGATATCATCTTAAAACTAGGATGGACTAGTCGTGATTGGGATTTAAGGATCCTTCCCTCCCCTTTTCCCAAATCAAAAGCATTTATATTTGCAGCGCTTACCTGTCATAAGCCAGAATGTGTAGTAAATTCAGAAGTTTGATCCACAAAGTGTTGTTGCTAGTTAAAATAACAGTGTTCCTAGAAGCTAGCTGATGTTTACCCAACAGTATTATTTTTGAATTTAGGTAAAATAAGAGATGAATAGTCCAGAGATTTGGAACAGCTAACTTAATATAAAATTCCTTTCCCACTTTTTGGACTTTAACCAGTTGTAAGACACTAAACTCATTGGTAGTAGAACAACCTGGGACTCAGGAAAGACCCTGCAACACCCAAACAAGTATCCATGAAAATTTTATCCTCTAGATGAGAATCTGGGTAGGGGCACCTGGGTGATTGGCTCAGTAAAGTAAGCATCTCTTGATTTCAGCTCAGGTCATGATCTCAGGATTATGAGATCGAACCCCAATCATGGGCTCCATGATGGGCATGAAACCTGCTTAAGATTCTCTTGCTCCCTCTCCGTCTGCCCCTCCCCCCCTTTAAAAAAAAAAGGTGAAGATCTAGGCCATGTCAATAGGTAATCCCTGAGACATTAAATGTGCATGTTGAGTGTAAAAGGAATTTAGCAGTTTGTGGAGGAGGAAATTAGTACAAATCAGTTGTTATACCAAGACCATGTACAGTGGTGAAAGCTGTGTACTCTCCCACTAGCATGTCTCTTTTATTTCATTTTTTTTAAGATTTTTACTTTTATTTATTTGACAGAGAGAGACACAGCGAGAGAGGGAACACAAGCACAGGGAGTGGGAGAGGGAGAAGCAGGCTTCCCATGGAGCAGGGAGCCCAATGTGGGGCTCCATCCCAGGACCCTGGGATCATGACCTGAGCCGAAGGCAGACGCTTAATGACTGAGCCACCCAGGTACCCAGCATGTCTTTTTTAAATTTCCCCCAGAAAGAGAGGCCTACTGGCATCCTGACAGGGCTACTAAAAGAAAGTATACAAAGCATATCCATGGAAAAAAAAAAAGAAAAAAAAAAGGAAGAGACTGTGATGGTTTCAGTGATACACTGCCAAGATCCCCAGTGGGTGTGATAACTTTCATAACTTGTAAGTGCTGGTAGCAGAAAGATTTCAACTATAAGACCTGATGAGAGGATGGCCTTGACTAAAGAGAGCTGCCTTATCCTTGGTCATTCACATTTCCCAGAGAGATCTACACCTAAATTACCTTTTTTTTTTCCTAGTCATTCCAACATAAGACAAGTCAGAATTATTATCCTAGCTTCAGATACCCTATAGAATTGACTGAGGCCACCCATGAAAAGGCATCATTTTCTCACTTAGCAAAATTCTCCTTCCTTCCTTCTTTTCCATACTTTGTAATAACCTTATTTTAAACTTATTCTATATCATATTGTGTCTCCTGCGGAACACATTTTGTGACACCTTGTTTAAATAATAAATATTAAATGGTCCTCCAATACACAATTTATGACTAAGGAACATCTAGGAAAAAGATATTACCACAAAGTTGAATTAATATATAATGGGGGATAAAAATTCAGGAGCAGCAGAAAGGTTTTCAAAGCCAAAAAAAAAAAAACCTGATATTTTAAAAAGGAGTTTATGAAGAAAAACAGAGTGTACTCTATGTATAGAAATCTAGAATTCATGATAAAAAAAAAAGTGGGTCTACCCTGAGAAATTGTCTGATACCTGATAGATCAGAACACTGGATATGAAGAACTGAAATGAGATGAAATGATTTGAAAATAGGGAGACCAGAAGGTTTTCATCTTAGAAAGCACTGCTCCCATGAAAAGAAAGGTAGTATCAGAGAGCAGTTCATGGGGAAGACATTGCTTGGAGGCTTAGAGGAGAAGGAAAAAAGGAAACAGTTCTGGGAATTGTGGGTTTTATAAAAAAAGGAGTGTTTAAAGAATCAAAAGACACAGTAAAGAAACCCCCCATCCCTTCCAGAATACACTTTAGGGACACTTCTTCAAGCATCCCACCTGTAAAAAAATTTGTTATTTCTCTTTTAGGACAATCCATACACTTAAAAATGAACATAAGTTGATCATCATTCATATAAGCTTTCTATGTCAATAAAATAAAGTTCCTTTTTCCATGCTGATAAAAATACCCCTCAAAAAAAAAAAAAGAAAACTGAAAAATTTTAACAGAACATGCCTACACAGAAGCATTTGCAAGTACTAGAGGACATAACTATTAAGAATTCCAAAACTCGGGCACCTGGGTGGCTCAGTTGGTTAAGCAAATGCCTTTGGCTCAGGTCATGATCCTGGAGTCCCGGGATTGAGTCCCACGTCGGGCTCCCTGCTCGGCAGGGAGTCTGCTTCTCCCTCTGACCCTCCTCCCTCTCATGCTCTCTGTCTCTCATTCTCTCTCTCGCAAATAAATAAAATCTTAAAAAAATAAAAAATAAATTAAAAAAAGAATTCCAAAACTCAAAATAGATATGGCCAAGAAGAAAGAAAAAAATGAAAAGTGATTGTACTCAAGAAAGAAATTGTAGAAAAAGAAAAAAAGTCATCTCAGTAATATAGACATTTCAATTTGCCTAAGAGTGGAATGTTCATTAGAATAGAGGATAGTAAGTAGATGAACAAAACAGCCAAAAACAAAGAAAAAGCTAAAAATAGAAATTGATAAATATTAACATATAATGATATAACTTATATATAATTTACCCCCTGATAAAGCCCACAATGCAACAAAACAAATTTTAAACTATGAGAAAACTTTCTAGAACTAAAAAAAAAGACATGAATCAACCTATTGTAAGATTACATCATGCTTCTGGGAAAATTGACCTGAAATTATGAACTCTAAAACATACCCTACAAAATTAATAGACTTAGTGGTAAAGAAAAAATCTTTTGCATCTCAAGGCAAAAGGACCAAATCAATTAACAAAGAAGAGAAGATTAGATTGGCATCTGATTTCTCAAGAATAACATATAAGCAAGACAAAGCGTGGAGCAAACACTGAAGAAAAAAGTCTTTTTCACATGAACAATTCCAAAATCATGTTTGACTTCAGAAACATGATGATTTAAAATGTTCATTTTCAAATCATGATACCACAATCCAAATAGATGAAGAAACTTGAGCAAGGTGACATTGTTAGAGGGTCACAGTTAAGACTAAATTAGTGATATTCCTAATTTTGGCAATACTAGTATTTTTACAGGATTGTATTGTGTTTCTACACTAAAAACAAATCAGACTATCAGAAGTTTTCCAATTGGGCTTCAAATACATCCAAAGAGAACTCAGCAAATCTATGAATTTGGGTCAGATAAAAATGGCATCCAATCATTTAATGAAATGTAGGCTCTTCTTTAATGCAAAAGCAGACAATAAACCACAATAGCATTGGCATTAATCTGTTAACATTTTTCAGCAAGAGTAAGTACAAATATTTTCAAGTCATATTGTAGTTATTTTAGATATCTATATATTTTTATCTGTCTCTCGATATATGGTCATCAATAGTCAAAAAAATTGACTAGTTATCACAGTATTATGTAATGTAATAAAACATATATTATAGCTGTTTTGTATATTCATAAATGTTCTAACATAGTAAATTTCCTTTGTTATTCTATATATAATATGAAAAAATATTTTGGAAAGTGTTTCATCAACCTGCCAGAAATGTGCAAGGCAAGAAAATGTTAAGACATTCAGGTAGATGTTAAAACACACTTGAGGCAAATACACCTTTATATTTGCAACTAGACTGATAACAACATGAAATCCAAAGGTTGACCATTGCCACTTAAAATTATAATTAAATTATGTGTCATGTACAAAAAGCAGTATGAATCCATACCTATAATTAAACCTGAATGAGAGGATTAATTTACCAAGAATATCTTTACATAAACACTGTGAATTTTGTGAAATACTTTTAACTAACTACTAAATTCAAACTGTCTTCCCAGGCATTGCTATCTCAGAGCTACTGAATTTGTCAAAGATCACTTTTATTAGAAAAAGTTTAAGTCACTTGAAATACAGTGAGGTTATATCAATTATTATGCAAATTAGATCAAGATTGAGAGTTAAGCTAAAAAATTGGCATTTATCACTGGATTTTATACTGCTTTAGTTCTTAATCATCTGTTTATTTTTTACATATATAAATGAGATTGTCATTTGATGTGAAGGGCATGCACATTTCATTTTAGAGAAACCATTATTAGAAAATACGATTTAGTTCAAATATTTTAAAAACTTAGTCATACAGCGGCTAGAATTGGGATATATTCTCTTAAATGTTTCCAACTATTGCTTTATTTATTTTTTTAAAGATTTTATTTATTTATTTGACAGAGAGAGACACAGTGAGAGAGGGCACACAAGCAGGGGGAGTGGGAGAGGGAGAAGCAGGCTTCCCGTGGAGCAGGGAGCCTGACGCGGGGCTCGATCCCAGGACCCTGGGATCACGACCTGAGACGAAGGCAAACGCTTAACGACTGAGCCACCCAGGCGCCCCTTCAACTATTGCTTTAAAAATTGTTTACTAAAGGCTTTTAAAAATAATAATTAACATTGTTTAGAGAAGATAAAGAGAAAAAGGCACTAACCTGTGTGATTGGGATGAGCCAAGGTTACATTGATGAAATGATTTCCAGCTTCACAAATCTGTAAAACATTTTAAACTTTTCAGTGTAATCTACATGTTCCTCTTTAAAAATATATTCTATAGGGGCACCTGGGTGGCTTGGTTCACTCAGCATCTGCCTTTGGCTCTGGTCATGATGCCAGGGTCCTGGGATTGAGCCCCAAGTTGGGCTCCCTGCTCAGTGGGGAGTCTGTTTCTCCCTCTCCCTCTGCTGCTCCCCCGCCCCTCCCCCTGCTCCTTCTCTCTCTCTCTCTCAAATATATAAAATCTTTAAAAAAATTTAAAAAATCATATTCTATAGATTTGCCAGTATCCATTTAATATATTAATTTCAAAGATCCAAGAGATATATTATTACTCTAATTGTAGGGAGAAGGAAGCTTGTATCATAATAATGAAAGAAACTGTTGTAGATATAGATTGAATTAACATAATGAATCACATTGAGCTAGAAACTTTGAAGATATTTTTGATCCTTTTTGATAACCAGGTTCAAATTCCCTTGTTAAAAATTAGGTTGTGCTGATGATATGCTTTGTACTTGTTTAGTAGGTAAGTTTCCATGCCATGAAGAGACAAGTCAGGTTGTGGAAGATAGATCTGGCATAGGTGTGCATGTTCTAAATTCATTAGCACAGTAGTAACCCTGTTACTGCAAGGGTGGTAGTGTGATGCACAGCTGGTTTCAACTCAATTTAGAAAATTGAGTGGAAGCAGTACTGTCCCACAAAGACACTTGCTGATTGTCTGTCATCTGACCCCTTGATCATATACACTCTACTAGCCATCCCAGTCAATAGACCGCTATGACGTTTTAGAAGCTCAAGTCTTACTAACATCTTCAGGGACAGGGTTAATGATGTTCCCAATTTGCAGGCCTGGGTGGCTCAGTCGGTTGGGCTTCGGCCTTCAGCTCAAGTCGTGATCCTGGGGTCCTGGGATCAAGTCTCGCTTGGGGCTCCCTGCTCAGTGGGGAGTCTGCTTCTCCCTCTACCACTTCCCCCTGCTCGTGATCTCTCTGTCTAATAAATAAAATCTTTTTTTTAAAGATTTTATTTATTTATTTGAGAGAGAGAATGAGATAGAGAGAGAGAGAGAGCATGAGAGGGGGGAGGGTCCGAAGGAGAAACAGACTCACTGCTGAGCAGGAAGCCCGATGCGGGACTCGATCCCCGGACTCCAGAATCATGGCCTGAGCCGAAGGCAGTCGCTTAACCAACTGAGCCACCCAGGCGCCCCAATAAATAAAATCTTAAAAAAAAATAATGTTCCCAACTTGCAACATGTGTCCCCAGAAGTTAGTACCTTTTCCTTTGTCATCAATATGCTTAATCTGATTAACACTAGGTATGTATTCAAAATTTAATACTTTGTTATTAATAACATTGTTATCCAATACCATTATTGTTTAGAGTCATCCAAATTTTCACTATAATATATCCCTAAATTGAGCATGTTTTTAACTCAGTATCTTTAATGCTATTAATCTCTTAACATATATCTGATTTTGTTCTTTTCAACAATTTCTGTAGGGATTTCTTCACATATAATAGTTTTGTAATTGTAGAAGAGGCTCTTAGTTTCTCAAGTTATCATTATGAATAAAAGCTGAATTTTACATTTTCAGATAATAATTTTATAGTTGAACTTATTTATAGGTGAATGTGGTTAAGAGTGTGAGCCATTGTTGGATGAACTTGTGTTCGAATGCCTCATCTTTTACTTTTTAGAGATTACATGATTAAGATATCTGAAATTCCATTTCTTCACATAAATGCTGATATTACTTTCTTTCCCCTGATGGTTATTATAGGATGATTAAATGAAATCAAGTGCCTGACATATGAATTACCCAATAAAACTGTGATAATTTTAGTTACCAATGTCATCAATTAAAAACCAGAGAATTACCCTACATTGATTAATCTTACTTCTCTAAATTTCTATCTCTCACAATGGCAACACCGCAAAACACATAATTACTAAATTAATAATTTGTTTTGTTTGTTTGGTCTTTCTATCTTTTCTCTTCTTTCAATCAAATGGCATGTCATACTTATTTTTCATCACTCACTGTGCCAAATGCAAAATGGAATATATAATAAAAAATACTTATTAATAAGCAAATTAACTTACCAACTCTGTGAACAAATTATATTTTAGAAATTATGGTTTTCTTCTGGTAAATCATATTCACTTTATGATTATCAATATTTTAAACTCATTCAACCTTCCAAATAATTTCTCCTTCCTACTTTTCACAACACAACTAGATATGAAAACATCAATCTTCTACCCAAAGTATAGGGCATGGAAAAATGAGCATTTAGCTTCAGTTAGACCACTAGCTGTATACTAATGCCATAATTTATCACTAGGTGCCCCTACCCCCTGCCCCCAAATAAAACATAACATACTGAAATAAGAAATATGATAGAAGGGAACTTAAAAAAATGATAAATAACTCAACTTTTCCATCTTGCTATCTACAGATGAAATGCATATCCATATACATTCTAAGGGTGGAGATAAAAAAAAATCAGCTATATCTATATGTTTAAAAATACTTAGTTTATCATTAACTTAGCAAATCTGTAATGGATTTTAAAGAGCATTTGTGACTATTTTCAACTTTCACCTTAAGCACTGGCTTCGATATTCTCAAGAATGAATGTGTCCAATATAGTTTAATTGACCTAGATAAAAGTGGTTGATATAATTTCCTCTTGGGTCAGAGCTGAGTAAGATTAGAAAATTCAGTCAGTGCTATAAAACTCAATATATGGTTTTATTACTGAAAAAAAAATCAGAAGAACATTAAATGTGAAACACTGGAACATTTTCCAGCATGACTTACACATTTCTCCTGGGTTGATTTTTCTCTAAATCAGATATCTTCCTTTGGCACGTTATATGTAAACACAGCAATTTCACAAATAAGTTTGAGGAAGTTGCTATCATTAGGTTTGATTTTTACATTACTTAAATGTTAATTTATCTTATATATGTGAAACATACAGATGTGTAGAAGCCCAACTTGCGGAGATCCATTTTTATATAATTTCTGTAATGTTCTTTCTTGCAAGCCTCAGCAAGTGAACATTCTCTACTTATATAAATAGTGAAAACACTGTGTCTATAGAATAAAATCTAAGGGTGCCTGGGTGGCTCGGTTAAGTGTCTGTCTTCAGCTCAGGTCATGATCCCAGGATCCTAGGATTGAATCCGGCATCCAGCTGCCTGTTCAGTGGGATCCAGCTCCCTGTTCAGTGGGGAGTCTTCTTCTCCCTCCCCTTCTACCCCTCCCGCTACCTGCTCCTGCTCTCTCTCTCGTGCTCTCTTAAATAAATTAAATATTTAAAAAATAATAATGAATTCTAAACACCCTATACAGAATTTGTAGCCATCAAATAGTCAGGCTCTCTCATTTTGTCTTAGTAAAACTCTTTTGGTTTCCACAGTAAAAATAAGTAATCTTTATTCTGTAATCTAAGAGTATTTTTATAGGAATGAAAATGAGCGGAGTGCCTTGTGGCTCAGTCATTAAGCGTTTGCCTTTGGCTCAGGTCATGATTCCAGAGTCCTGGGGTCGAGTCCCACACTGGGCTCCTTGCTCAGTCGGAAGCCTGCTTCTCCCTCTCCCACTCTCCCCTGCTGTGTTTCCTCTCTCGCTTGTGTCTCTCTCTCTGTCAAATAAATAAATAAAATCCTAAAAAAAAATGACCTATATTATTTCTGTATATATCTGTTCTCCCCAAAGATTTTTTTATTTTATTATGTTATGTTAATCACCATACAGTACATCATTAGTTTTTGATGTAGTGTTCCATGATTCATTGTCTGCGTATAACACCCAGTGCTCCATTCAATAAATCACCAGGCTAAACCATCCCCCACCCCCTCCCCTCTAGAACCCTCAGTTTGTTTCTCAGAGTCCATAGTCTCTCATGGTTCGTCTCCCCCTCAGATTACCCCCCTTTCATTTTTCCCTCCCCACTATCTTCTTCTATTTTTTAACATATAGTGTATTATTTGTTTCAAAGGTACAGGTCTGTGATTCAACAGTCTTACACAATTCACACTCACAATAGCACTCACAATAGCACATACCCTCCCCAATGTCTATCACCCAGCCACCCCCACAACTCTAGCAACCCTCAGTTTGTTTTCTGAGATTACGATTTATATATGTTATCATTATTATTAATTATCGGCAGATATAAGTTTTTAATTTGAGCAATGTAATGTCTATTTCATTAATATAATTTAAAAATTGAATGTGCCAAAATGTTTCTAACACTAATAATCAAGTTTGTTTTGAATTTCAGCTATTTTAATTTTCTCTCTTTCTAATGATAATAATTATTATGTCATGTCTTATTTATTTTATCTTAATATTTCAAGAATAAAGAAAATCTTAGATCACTATATAATTATGGAAGTTTCATCGTAATATATATCAACTAACTTCTTGAGAAGTTAGTTTCTAAAGGATAAAACACACTTGCATAAACATGCTATTTGATAATATAGGCCAATATTATACTCTTTTAGCATCATAAGTTGTTTTATAACATGATAATATATCACTATAACATTATAAAAATTTATTCTAATTCCTAACCTCTATTTGTTTAAATTAGGAAACCCATTTATATACATTTCAGTAAAAAAAAGGATAACATGCATTGTGTTCCAGAATAAATATGTCCAATATGTTAGTTATGGGTTTATCAGAAAATATATATACTAACCAATACTTTTTTCATTAAGACATTTTTTTAGAGCAGTTTACAGCAAAATCAAGGGGAAGGTCCAGAGAGTTTTCCTATATCCCCTGCTCCTGAACATGCATAACTTCTCCCATTATCCGTGTCCTCCAAAAGAGTGGTACATTTGTCACAACAGATGAAACTACATTGACAGATTATAATCACCCAAAGTCCACAGTTTACATTAGAGTTCACTCTTGGTGTTGTACACTCTGAGTTTGGACAAATGTATAATGCCACATAACCAT